TGAATCGTTTATAGGAGAGAGTGACATTCTTGGTGAAGGTGCCAAAGAAAAAGCTTTTTCATATATTTGTACATATCAACTGAGTTATATGGTAGGGTTCTTTATAATTGGATATAATTACATCAACCTCAATGTCCGAGACTTGAAGAAAAAAGAAGAAGAATTAAACAATGAAATAGGTGTTGAAATGGAGAATGAAGGAGTCAATGAAATACACCCAGAAAACATTTCATTTGAAGAAAAACGTGGAAGTCGGGAAAGTGTTGAACAAATTGAAGAAAATAACAAAAGTGAATTAAAAGAGGACATTCATATTGATATCGAAAAGATTAAGGATATCACAAAAACAATTGATAAGAAGGAAGAAGTTCCAAATCCACTTTTGGAGTACCAAGTCAAACCCATTCACTACGAAGAGGAAGATGAAGGTATTGATGATGATGATATATTAGTCGATGACGAAATATCTTCTGATGAATTGGAAGAAGAACAAGAAAACGAAACTACTACACAAAATGTAAGTCAAAATGGATCAATAAAAATGGATGAGGTTCGCGATAAAACACCTTCTATTCCTTCGCGCGATATTTCAGTTAATTCCCCTGAAATTATAAAATCAAAAGAAGATGTGACATCACAAGAGAAAGCAACAAAGACGAGAAAAATAAATTCCTTTTCAAAAACATTCAAAAAAGTAAAAAGAGGTATAAAAAAGTTTTTCAAAACAATTTTGAGGCCTTTTGTGTTCTGTTGGAAGAAACTGCCATCGATCGTCAGATTTTCAATCAAAAACTTCTTCTCTGTTCCAACGATGGCGACTATCTTTGGAATCATATTCATGTTACTCAAATGGATACGAGACCCTTTGTTGGTATCTGGGGGATTGGAGTATAATCGGGGAGGTGTATCAACTATTTAGGGAGTTCAACTGTTTTTTGTGCTTTGTTTTTGTTGGGAGGGAGTTTATCGAATGGACCGAAAGGAGGAAGTATTCCAACATGGAAAATCTTTTTGGGTATATTTTATCGAATGGTTGTGTTTCCGCATTCTC